ACACTTGCAGAACAGGCTTCACCAGCATGGCTCCACCCATCCGCCTCACCATAGGTGAGTGCTTCCTGCTCAGAAAGCAGCCGGGTGAAGCTGTGTCCTTTGTCTTTTGGGTAGTTACTTATTCTCCAGTTGTTTTTATTTGCTAAGAAAGTGGAAGGCAGTATAATCCAACAAAAAATGACTAACTTCAGGCTCCAATAAAAAAGTTAAATGAGCACATACACAATATTCAACCTCATAGATAAGGGTTGAAGAAGCAGATCCTCAGTATCTTTGTCTATATTGAGCTGTGATGGCAATTCCACTAACACATTTTTAAGGTTATTTATTTACACACCTTGTGTAAAAAATTCTAAGAAAATCTCATACATCTGTTAGGGGAAAAAAATCAAAGATTTCTCCAAAACTCAAACTCCAGTATTAAATACAGTTTCCTGAGTGAATTCTTCCTTCCTTCCACTGCTCAAGTACTAGGTAAGTATGCACCTATACTTCACCATGGGCTCTCCCACTGCTTCTCCATCTCTTAACAAAAACATTTATCTAAAATCAAAACAGTGTCCCTGGCAACTACCACGAAATTAGTATTCAGCCAGTCTTAACTTGTGGCTTCAGAGAACATTCTGACTAGTTAATCTGCTTAACTGCAATATATTAAAGAGATTCACCGCTGGGCGCTCTTAGCTCACACCTGTAATCCTAGCTACTCAAGAGGCTAAAATCTGAGGATTGCAGATTGAAGCTGGGACAAGAAAGTCTAGAAGACTCTTATCTCCAATAAACTACTCAGAAAAAGCCAGAGGTGACACTGTGGCCCAAGTGGTAGAGTGCTAGCCTTGAGGAAAAGAAGCTCAGAAATAACACCTAAGTCCTTAGCTCAACAGTCTTCCAACCAGAAAAAAAAAAAAGATTCATTACTTATACTAAATTCATTACTTATACATTACTCATAGACTGTTGAACTGTGCTAACTCCATTAAATTTATAGAAGTGAACTGGGAAAGATCAATATATTTCCTGTTCCAAAAGACTCTTTACTAATTCCAATGTAAACTCTACTTTCAGATGCTATTTCTGTCTGTACTCAATAAAACAATGTTCTAACATTACTACTATAATGTTACATACCACAGACATAATTATGCTCTACAGCAAAATCTTATGTTGTTGACTACATTTTTTCCTTTCTGAACATAGCTGTGAATATAACTTGTTAATAAATGGTAGGCACAAAAAGGAAAACAATTAACTTTAAAACATTAAACAGAATTTTAACATAATTTTAAAAAGTGTAGCAGAAACCAACATTGTGCTGTGTCAACTAGTAAGTAGCTGTTTATGGCAAAGGGGGAATCAGTCATTGGTCACTTTTCTCTCATATTTAACAAAATGTTTACAACTAGCTATCTACCTCTGATGGAGTAAGATGTACCTTCGTATGGACAGAAGAGGCAACAAGAGAATTCACTGGAAAGACAATGACTACATTCCAATCCTTGTTATAAAATTTATCAGAATGATTCAAATTTTTTATACTATGCTCTATGGCTATAAATATCGGCAATCACATCAGTCCTCACTCACTGGCTGCTTCACTGGTCTAAGCCACCTGTCTCATCGAAGCAGCCTCCTTTCCTCTACACTTGTCTTCACCTATCCTTTGCTTTTAGTTACGTTTTTATTTATTTATTCTTTTGTTTATTAATTGGTGTGTGTGTGTGTGTGTAACTAGGGTTTCAATTGAGGTCCTTAAATTTATGAGGCTGGTGCTCTTCCACTTGAGACGCACTTCCAGCCCTATTTTTAATGGTTATTTTTGAGCTACAATTTTGTGTGAACTTTTCTGCCTGGGTTAGCCTTGAACCATAAGGATTACTGGTGTGAATCACCAGCCTTCATCTGTCCTTACCTATTCCTAACTCAGCAACCAAAATAATCTGTCTTACAAAGTACAGGGACAAAACAGGCCACAAAGATGAGTTAATTCCAATATTTTCAGAGTACTTTACACTCCAGACTAAAGATTTTGTATACAATTCTTACATAAAGTGACAAAGTTCTCTGAATATAAATTATAAAAGCTTAATTCTAAAATTTAACAATCACATATTAGGATGGATTGATTCAGCAGGCATTAACTGTACATTCACTGCACACACATCCTATAGGGAAAGAAAGATAAACAGGACATTTTTGCTGCTTTTAAGGAGAGTACAATTTAGTGAACAAATAGGATGAGTTCATTTACATTTGACCAGGGTTAGCAAGAGTTGGGTCAGGGAAGCTCTCCAGGAAGAACTGGATGGTAGGCTGAGTCCTGAAATGCCCTTGCAATATCTATATATTTACAGGCTTGTTTCTAGTCTCTATGTGGTTCCATTAATCTATTTGTCTATACTTGGATCTATACCAGGATTCTAATTAGTGAAGTTTTACACTAAATTTTGGTATCTGCAATGGTAAGTTTCTCACTAGTTTTTTTAAAAAAAAAATTATTCTGAGTATTCTTGGTTTTGCACTTCCGTATAAATTTTAGAATCGATGTCAATTTCCACAGAAGACCCAGCTAAAAGCTTGAAGCACATCTCATTCTCCATTTCTGTTTCTGGGCATTGTCCCTTCCTCTACTCTATCAGCATGTGCACATATTCTAAGAGAATAAGTCGCTTAATGCTAGGGCCACCCCTCATATTTCTCTTTTCTGTTACACTATAGTTCAGTAATGGCTTACTGCTGTATTAACTCTCTAATGTTTCAAAGAGGTATCTTTTATACTTCTGTCCAACTTTTCTGTTGCCAGAGAGCTTTATCTAAATCCCTAGTCTATTATTTTCAGATATTCATACTATAAAAGTACATTTTGCTTTTCTTCTCATTCCTCTGTCTGCTCTGCTCCTCCAATCCTTTCTCTTTTTTTGTTCTTTCTCAATAAGGTAATGTGGGAAGATGTAGGATTCCAGTATAAAAATTAAAAAGACCAAATGTTTCTAGGGAAAAAATCTTAAGTATGAAAACTGAACTAGTATATCAGCTTAAAAGAAGATTATTCATAGCAGAGAAAACAATCACTGAAGAAGATGAAAAAGAATCTCTAGAAGAAGGAGAAAGGAGTAAGGGAACAGAGAGGTGGGGGGAGAGGAAGAAAGAGAACAGAATCCAAGAATGTAACTGATGTGAAGATGAGAAGAAAGCAACAACCCAATGGAAACAAACATTTAGCTGAACTTTGACTTTGCCTTTCTAAGGAATTACACTATTTGAAATCTCCCTTGAATCTATCCTGTTTCAGTTAATAGATTTGTATATACTTGCATACAACCCAATGTATTTACTTAGAGGAGTTTGTTAGATAAATCTAGCTTCTGTATGTAAGGGAAAACATAGATCTTTTTTCTCTCAGGGCCTGACATATCTTAACATATCTTAAGATACTTAAATTTGACAAAATTTTCCTTCATTTACTACAGAAGAAAATAGAAGAATGTACCACTTACAGAGAACACACACCTTGGTCATCCATTGAAAAATAAAACACCAGGAAGTGGGAAAAGAGTAGATGAATAAAGAGGATAAGAGGGGAAAAATACAGACAAGAAATCCAATGTATATCCAACAAAACTAAGAAGAGTGAGGAAAGGGGTGCATAGGAGAGGGATGGGTCAGAATGTTGAAAGGGGTGACACTGATCAAGATATATTGTATTCATAAACTGCTTTGTTACATGGAAGCTCCTTTGTACAACTACCTGAAGATAATAAAAAGGATATCAATTAAAAATAAGAATTGAATTAAATCAAAATAAAAAGATAGAGCATACTGAACATGATTAATCTGTTCCAAAATAAATATTTTTATATACGCAGTAAAAATTTAAAAAAAACACAAATATTTAGTGATAAGAGCTTCAGACATCCAAAATGTGACAAGATATATCAAACAGACTCTCAGTAAACTCCAAGCAATATATAAATACAAAGTCCTCCCTCTCCCTTTCACTTTTCTTTCAAGTGGTTCCATCCAGTTTTGTCATAAAATGGCTGAACTAAACTTCTTTTTCTCTCTCTCTGAAGTTTTACCTTTTTTTAACCCCTGAAGAAATCATGGATAACTATGGATACTTGCTATTTGGTCAGGACATGGTAAATCCATTTTATGTTTGTATACACAAATAAATGAACATATTGAGAACATAAAGAACAGCTTTAAAAGGAAAAAAATTCCTATTGCCCTTGTTGTATAACAGTATAGGAAGCTTTAAGTTTTCACTCTCAAACTATAGCTGCATTTTTCTGATTTGGCATCTAACAGTGACAGATGGTAATGTTAAAAATAAATAGAACATTCAAATTGTTTATACTGTAGGCAAAGACAGTTTTAAAGTGTGAAACAAGCCCAAGGCTGATTGAATTTACATCATGCTTTTCAAAATGTATTAAGAATATATACTTCCCCATGACAACCATGCCATTCAAACACATAAATAACAAGATTCCTTCTCCTTCCTTCCTTCCTTCCTTCCTTCTTTCCTTCCTTCCTTGCTTCACTCCCACCCTCCCTCCTATATTCTCTTTCTCCCTCCCTTCCAAACTGAGGTCTGAACTCATCCTCATGACAGCTAGGCAGGCACTTTACCACTTATGACATATCTTCAGCTCTCTTTTTGCTTTTACTTATTACTTTTTATAAGATTTCAAGTTATTTGCCTAGGGCAAACCCTGGGTAGTGATCTTCCTACTTATGCCTACAGAGTAGCTTGAATGACAGGCATGAACCATCACATCTAACTTAATTGTTGAAAAGAGGGTTTCACTAGTTTTTGTTTTTGTTTTGCCCTGGCTGGCCTTGAGCCACAACTATCCAGATCTCTGCCTCCCAAGTCCCTATGACTAAAGATGGGCCTAATCACTCACAGCTCCACATGAATTATTTTGGTTTGCTACAAGGGTATCAAGACAATTAGTAGGGAAGAAATAGCTTTTTAACAAGTAGAGCTGGGACAATCAGCTATCCAAATGAACTTCAACTCCTGCACAACACAGATTAAAAATTAACTAAAAAGTAACTAAAAATGGGTCACAGGTTAACAAGTAAAAATCTAAAACTATAAATGACTCAGAAGAAAACAGAAATAAATCTTCACAACCTTGGCTTAGTTAGTCTTAAGAAAGGCACCAAAAATGTAAGTGATAAAAGAAAAACTTAATTAACATGAACATTTTTAGGTTTCAGTGGATACCACCAAGAAAGTGAATAACATTCCCCCCAAAAAAGAATGAGATTAAATACCTGTAAATCACTATTATTGAATAAATGAATTGAATCTAGAATACATAAGAAATATTTCTCATTCAGTAATAAAAGACCAATAACCCAATTAAACAATACCCAAGGAATCTGAATGGACATATCCCCCCAAACGTATAAAAGGCCAATGGGCACAAATAAAGATGTTTCATAGACATTACTAATTACAAGCAAATGCAAATCAGAAGAATCCTGATGAGGTACTACCCATACCTTTAAAGTCGGCAGTAATTCATCCAAAGAAAACAAATAAGTGTTGATAATATGGAGCAACTAGATTTTTCATCTACTGCTAGTAAAGCTGTGACTCAGTAATTCTACTCGGACATGCACTCAAGAGATATGAACACACAAAAACTTGTACATAAGTGTTTGCGGCACATGAAAAAATAAAATGAATAAATAAAATATGTTATGCAAATAAAGCAGAATATTATTCAGCATTAAGAAAGGAATGAAGTACCGATACACATTGCAACAGGGATGAACCTCAAAAACATGTTAAAGTTAAAAAAAAACAAAAAGAAAAAACAGTTACAAAAGTCAATACTTAAAGTTAATAAGGTTAACCATAATGCTTGTTTCCCCTTATATGAAATGTCCAGAACAGGAAACAATAAGGACAGATAGTAACTTAGTAGTTATTTAGGGTCAGGAAGTGGTAGGGGGAAAGTATCAAGTATTTTCTGAAGGATACAAGATTGCTTTTTGAAGTAATAAACATTTTCTGAAATTGTGATAGTATAGTTGTGCAACAGATTAGACTAAAAATACTGAATTATACACTTTAATAGCTTGTATTATAGTTCAACCAACCTGTTTTGGTTTAATAACTATAGACCTATTACGTAAAATAAAGAAATCTAGGGTATCATTACTACTAACATTTACCAAGTAAGTACATATATAGACAGACTTATGATTAAGTTCACCCAAAGCAGGATAAAATTGCCTTGAAATACCGAATTCCTGGCTCAAGATACAGATAATGATGTTTTGAAGGACTTTCTTTACCAAGCAAGAAAGTTTTCCCAATGTAAATGAATTCTTTAGTTCTTCTGTAAAGATCTAAGCTTTGAATGGAGCTATTACACAGACTGATATAAGTTTTGGATGCAGAAGTGAGAAAATACCAAATAAGGAAAGAAAAAAAAACTTTTTTCCCTAGTTCTTATATACAAGTTTTGAAAATGGCTTTAGGGAAAGCAGTTCAATTAAACTCTGAGGCCCAAAAACGTTTTCTTCTCCTTTAATTGCAGTATAAGAAAGGGGCAGAAGGAATGTACTATAACTAACAAAATAAACTTGGTTATTTCTTCCCTCTAAAATTTTTACATATTTATTATTTTCTTTTTAAAAATGTACATCAGGGGCTGGGAATGTGGCTTAGTTATAGAGTACTTGCCTCAATTCCTTGGTTTGATTCCTCAGTACCATATATACAGAAAAATCTGGAAGTGGTACTGTGGCCCAAGTACTACCCTTGAGCAAAAGAAGCTCAGGGACAGTGCCCAGGCCCTGAGTTCAAGCCCAGGACTGGCAAAAAAAAAAAAAAAGGTACATCAGGTCACATATTTCCATACTAGGTATTTTGTAGTCTTGCCCAGATTAAACCACCCAAACACAAAAAAAATCTAATTGTCTTAATTTTGTCTGTGGCTTTATTTGTAAACTATGCTACATACTAATATAGCACCATAAAAGTATATAAGTGACAAATGCTTTTTAGTTTTTAAACTCAATTTTATTTTTAACATTTGTAGTCACTGATAAAATATACATCCTTTCAGCTGCCACATTCTAATTAATCATATAATACCCAGGTTAGTTCTACAAGCCCATTTTTAGTCACTTTATTTACTAGTAAGTTATGTAGTCTAATTGTGTAACTGTAAAAGCAAATAATAACAGAGCTTAACATAGCATATAATTCTTTAAAACTGTCTAAAAGTTTGAATGCATTTCTCAAGAAAGAAATCAAACCACTGAAAATGAAGAATGCAGCAAGTGCAAAGACCGTCAGAACAAGCCACATCTGTGTTTGTGAGCAATTGCTCCAAGGGAAAAATTCACTCACCTGGTTTTGGCACTGAGTTGGTCACTGACTGGGGAACTTTCTGGTTAATTAACTCCACACAATGACCAGGGAAGAGTCCCACCTAAAGAAAAGCAACATAGAAAGGATTCCAGAACAGCAAACGGACTAGAGGATAACACTGCCAAGTCAGTTCCAGTAATGTACTCCCCAGGCCCTCCCAAATGATTCTGTTATTCCAAGACTCTGAAGAGCAGACGCCAATTACACAAACAAATAATAAAACAATCTGTTGCTATGAGTATATAGAGCTATGTGGGGTTCTCTGTCCAAATATCTATGTCTGCTTTTTTCAGTTTTTGTTTTTCACTTCACAAACTTCTTTTAAATCAACTAAGATATTTAGACATCTCAGGCTAGGCATGCAGCAGGTAAAATTTTTTCCTCTTTAATAATTCTCTCTGCCCCAAATTTTAATCTAGTTGTATTGATATTTGTTGCTAATATAATTACTGTCTTCCTTAAAGATGTTTAAATCCTAAATCAAAATTATTGTATGAATATTCTCTTCACTCTCCTGCAGGCTTCATGAAATAAAATGATACAATTAAAGTAAATTTCTGAAACAATAATTCATCTAAAATCCTGGTATTCACTGCTGCTAAAGAGCCAGCAGCGCATGGTAAGAGGGAAAGTAACAGAGAAGAAATAGGTCACTTTCCCCAGGCTGGACATAGGTAGGGCTAGCTTTGGAGAACACAACAACACATTCATCTTACAGCAGAACTGCATAGACAGCTATAGCTAGAATCCAAACAGGCTGTATAGAAAAACACTGAGGTCAAGATCATCCAGAGATACTGTATGGCTAATAGGATAAATGCAGAGATAAACATCCTAGGAAAAGAGTAGAAAGGAAACCTTTAACAATATTTATAGATGTTTTCGTAGATGGGGATATAAATGGGCTGCCATGCAGCAGATGTTAAAGCTAAAACATGAAAACTACATCACACTGAATCTCCTCTGTTGACAGACTCTGGGGAAGGATGGAACACACTTCCAAGAGTGTGACTCATCATGCACTTCTGAGCTACATAATTTCCATCTGTGTGGAATTATTTTCACATATCTATTTGCTGCATTCTTATATCAATTTCTGGATCAATACTTTGTGGTACTTAATAAAATTATGAAGATGTAACCAGTTATCATGAGCAGAAAGTGAGTTATTATCAGATTACCAGTTTTGCTTAAAAGATCTGGATTTGGCATCTTTAAACAATACTCTCCAAAGTGATGCTTTGTATAACTGCTTTGTTAGTGAAATTGTATAATGTATTCTACTCAAGTTTCTATTTCATTCAACAAGTAGAATTCTCCAAAGGTTGGTTAAAACTAGGTAAAAATAACCTTGAAAACCCTTCTATTTTTTTTTATGTGTTCTATGTCCTCTCTCATGGAATAAGAGGCATAAGTTGTTCTTAAATCTACCAGTTACTAAACTGGGTTTGCAACTCAGCTTCTCTATAATTCAGTTTCTCTATCTAAACAGGATAATAATATGTAAAAATATGTAAACATTTAACATATTACAGGAAGGTAGGATGCACTTGTCAAATATTACTTGTTATTATCCTACTATATTGGGTACTGAAGACCTAGTTCCTCCATTAAATGGATAGGATGCATCCTACTATATTTTGTATGTGTGTGTTTAAGCCTCTTTATTCTCAAACATACCTATTAGAAAATCCTGATTCATTTCAATTTATAAACATCTGAAGTTTGCCACAGAAAAGATTCAAAAGTTATTAGCTCACTCATTTCCTAGGCTCCATGATCTGAAGTAAATCAGTTTCCTAATTTGTAACATTAGGAATACTATATGCATGAATAAATATTGTATATTATGTACGTTATTATAACAGTATAGGTGAAAGCATCTACTTATCGTAGTTCTTTAGCTCAGCTATGTTTCATCAAATAAAAGCCAGTTTTCTATGAGCACCCATGGCTCACACCTGTAATCCTCGCTACTCAGGAGGCTGAGATCTGAGGATTGCAATTTGAAGCCAACTGAAGCAGCAAAGTCATGAAACTCCCATCTTCAACTATAAGAAAAACTGGAGTGGAGCTCAAGTGGTAGAGTGCTGTCCTTGAACAAAAGAAGCTCAGAGACAGTGCACAGGACTTAAAGAAAACAAAAGAAGAAAAATCCCAAACAAAAAAAAAACACCCAGTTTTCTATTGCTGGTTTTTTGTGTTTTTTTTTTTTTGTCGGTTGTGGGGCTTGAACTCTGGGCTTGGGCGCTGTCCCTCAGCTCTTCAGCTCAAGGCGAGTGCTCTACCACTTGAGCCACAGCACCACTTCCGGTTTTCTAGTGGTTTATTGAAGATAAGAGTCTCACGGGGGCTGGGAAGGTGGCTCAGTGGTAGAGTGCTTGCTTTGCATGCCTGAGGCCCTGAGTTCGATTCCTCAGCACCACATAAGCAAAAAGAAAAAAAAAAGTCTCACGGACTTTCCTGCCCCGGCTGGCTTTGAACCATGATCCTAAGATCTCAGCCTCCTGAGTAGCTAGGATTATAGGCGTGAGCCACTGGTGCCTGTTTTGTTTTTTTTTTAAAGGAATGAATGAAGCTTACTGAACTGCTTCAGGGAGCTGTATAATATGTATTAGTTACATGTTCCATGCTTCTGTCTTAATGCAGTGGGCTCAGGTATATGGGCAAGTGTTACTTACATTATACAGGGGCACATCTAATGCTTAATTCTAATCCCTACTCTCAACATCCTTCCTTTTTGCACTGTAACATTACTACATGTTATCCATCTAGCTTTTCAGACACAGCATTCAGATGAAGCTAAGACACACATGAACACCACCACTGGGCTACTGTAGTTTCTCTCTTTGCTGTGAATGGAGGCATCACAGCTGGATCTGGAGTAGCCATCACTTGGCCACAATAAAAATCCAAGACAGTTTGAGAACCTTATGCCTACCACTGTGGAGCTGCTGGCTCACCTGCAGCAAGGATCTATATTTTCTTTTTACCTTTCTATTTCTTGAAGCCAAAGGCCTTTCCAATAGTGAAGCAGTCTTTTATTTAAAGTAGTCAGTTTCATAACTCTGTTAAAGGATAACAGTTCTATTTTCCTATACAAATTTTTCATCATAACATAAAGTCACACTCTGTTAAAATATACTACACATAAGAACACATCCTGAGCATGCAACTCCTAAACATTTATACTTTTCTGACAAATACATAACATAGTATTTCACCACTGTAAGCAATTCTGATAAATCCAAACTGTCAAATGGTAAAAGTGACTGGAGTTCTGGCAGTATGATGTACTAAATGTGTTGTCTTGTTTTCCAGGTTATTCTTTCTGCAGCAGTACTGTAAAGGGAGAAGGAAATTAGGTCAGGAGTCAAAAAATGAGACTCCTCTCTAGGAAGAATATGCAAGGGAAAGAAAAACCACCCTTTGGGCACATGATGACAAAGAAGTGGGTAATAAAGACATGGTAAGAGAAGGAAGGGAACAATTTAGCGTAAGGCTGGTATAGATAGGTTAGGGAGGGGCTTCCGGTATGGTGCAAAGATCATTTTGGTAGTTTCTCCTCAGCTGTTTCAACTACAGTGAGAAGCTAGAGAGGCTATTATTTCCTGTGCTGTGGTGTTAAATGTGTAATGACTGGCTCCCCATAGGGTAAATGGCCTTGATTTACAGTGTTTGCCATTAAAAACACCCATACCATTGCTGTTTTCCAACTATCATCAGGACACAACTGAGCAGAGAATAGAAAAGAGATGCACAGTAGTACTTGTTTGTGTAGTACCTTTATCATACAAATCCATAAGATGAACAGAAAAAGCAGATAACTATTATTTTACCACTGTTAATGGTAAACTTACACACTCTGATTTTTAATAATAGCTATGTTAAACAACTGTCCTATAAAAAATTCACCAAGATTTTATAATTGACACCAATTCACTACTCATCTAAAGCCAAGCAGGTGGTTCTATGCCTGTTTACCACTAGTAGCTCCTAGAATTACTCTCCAACACTTTGCAAGTTCATAGCTTGCCCTCGGACTTTTAAGGAATGAAAGAGGTTACAACAGTGAATGAGTTGAAAACAACTTTGGTGTAACTTGGAGAGAATGTTAGATAGGAAACAACTGTAGTACAACAAGCCTTGACCTTTGGCAACAGAAGGGATGGGAAAAATCCTTGCTCAACAGTGGGACCTGATTCTAACCATAGTCTCTCAGAGGCAACCAACCAAACCCTAAAAGGCATTTCAACATAACAACATTCTTATCACTGACTTTTTAAAAAATCCTGCTTAATGTGTTTTTTTAAATATAATTTATGTCTAGTGAAACTTCAGGATTATTGCATAGCAAAACCTTTTTTTAAGCTTAGTAAAGTACGTATCACATACTTATCCAATTGGGACTCTGGCTGCACAGTCAAACCCCCAATAGTTCATTTTCTGACTACAAGTTCCTGTCCTCCTGGTCCAGTGTTTACAGTTCATGAAAGGAGTACTAAAACCTGGAGATAACTCATTCCTTCATTCCTAGATTCCCCCCCCAGAATACTATTTACCTTCCAACTTTTTTTTCTTGACAAGTATGGATACTATGGTTGACCATTTGAATTTTTAAATCATACTTCTGGTTTCCTTGAAATATTAATTTTGTGTCAAACCAAGATAGAAAATCAATCCCCCAAAATAGAACCAGACTTCCTTACCTTCATGTCATATGTTTCTAAAGAAAAAAATCATGCCAAGCATAAGTGGCTCATGTCTGTAATCCTATCTTCTCAGGAGGCTAAGATTTGAGGATCACAGTTCAAAGCCAGCCCAGATAGAAAAGTCCCTGTGAGACTCTTCTCTCCAATTAACCACTCAAAAAAGAGAAGTGGTGCTGTGGCTCAAGTGGTAGAGCACTAGCTTTGAGCATGAAGAGGCTCAGGAACAGCACCCAGGCCCTGAGTTCAAACCCTACATCCAACCAAAAAAAAAATCACATCAGTGAAGAAATTCAAACTAATATAAATTCATAGACTTTTGTCTGGAAATGGCTATTATTTTTTCCCCAGT